GTAGGAATGGGACTCCATGAAAATGTCCCCTTTCCATGTCCATTGATATCCTCATTCCTTAGGTCTCATTTATTCAGCCATTAATAAGAGAAACTGCTTCACAGCAGACTTCCTGGTATTCTGACTCTTACAATCCTTCTACATTATCTTCCTACATGGGCCCTGGCCCTTAGATTCAGGAGCTGTGATGTAAATGTATTCAATAGAGATGGACTCCACACATCTTGTTTGCTGTGATGTTTTTCATTTGCTATAAAAGGGGGCTTCTTTGGTGAGGGATCATAGCTATTCTTACCTGTGGATATACAGATATGATTTAGAATATAGTAAGAAATTATGCTGGCCTACAAAGTGGCAAGGCTAGATTCTTTTTCTGAACTCCAAAATGTCATTAGCCTTGGGAAGGTGATTCGGTTTCCCGTAACAAGCATGGGCCTTAAGTCCAATTAGATAACTGTTGGTTGCCACAAACCTGTGGGTGTTTTGCTACCTTTATGAATATCTTGCCTTGAAGGTAATTATCATAAATGGACAGCTATTGATTCTTTCCCTCCCTTGGCAATGTGTATAGTATTTATTTCCTGGAACCATGGGAGCTAGACCACAGGAAAGAGGCTGCCACGTCAAATTCAGCCCAAATCATCTGACTCTAAATGTACAGTGTCTTCAGCAATAGGATTCTGATCTCAGTCACTGAGAGGGAATGAAGAGCTACATCAATAACCTATATTGTTTTGGGAGTCACTGGGATTACCCTAACTATTTGAAAGGAGGTGTCTTATGAAAGGTGCTGGGTTTTTGATAGTCTGGTCTTTATTAAGAACATTTTCAACTCAAGTGGCTTAGCTTCATACATACATACATATACATACATACATACATACATACATACATATATACATACATACACACACAAGGCTTTATCAATAACCTTAGTGTCACTTGTCTTTTCACCTTTCCTCATTTATATTGACCTCTCTCCCTTCTCCCCAATTTGAGCTCCCTCCCCATTATTCCATTTTCACTTCGTATGACCTGTATCTTGCTATGTCCCTCCCAAGCCATCTCCCCACCTATGATTGCATTATATTTTCCTGATTTCTATGGATATTCCATATTGTATTCTAATATCTGAGGATTTGGATCTAGGAACCCCAGGAGAGTAAGATTAACAGGCATTTGTCTTTCTAGGTCTGAGTTACCTCAGTCAATAAAATCTTTTCTTGGTACAACCATTTAACTGAAAATTTCATAATCTCATATTTTGTTACAGATGAATAGTATTCTATTGTGTATGTTGGTAGGAGCCATGTAACTTTTTTTAGAAACAAGGCCCTAAAATAGCACAAACAAGTTCTCCTTGCAGCAAGACCCTGAAGAGACTTAACCCATTTGCTAAAGCCTGTGGATAGTTCAATGCATAATTCTGGGCATGACACCAGGAGCATGTGTTCCTATGCTAGCCATAAGAGTCTTGGAGAAATGCTAGTAAATAGATGATATCAGGAGTTAATGGGAACAGTCTAGGAAGAGGGAATGAAGCAGAACCATAGAAACCCACAATGCCCTCATCTCAAACAACTGTGCCAATGCTTTAAGAAGTTGAGAGAAGAAGGACATGAGAACAAGGGATAAACTGTGCTAACTATTGAGAGTAAGTTTCTAAGTTACTTTACTCATAGGATAAATGGGAAAATCTGGTATATCCCCAGAGAAGATATATAATACAGAATATAGAATGAACTGACCCAGTGTTGACAGTTGAGTTGACTGTAACCACAAATGCTGCCAACTGGTCACACTATTCTACTTGTAGATGTGCCTAGTTAGAAAACTTCATTTGCGGGTTGCAACCCTGCTTATGCTTCTAACATTAGAGGTATGGATCAAATAAATAATGGTTACTGGTGGGAGGATGGGGGATGGAAGGGGAACTAAGCAAAGGAACAATCTGGTAATTATTGTAATTAGTTTTAGACAACTTAAAGAAATAATTGGATTGTAAAACTATTCATGTAAACCATTGAAATTTTATAAATAAAAACAGCTCAAGATACCCGTGGGCACTTGTTTGAAACAGGTAGACAGTTTCTTCATTGTGCCAATTTCATACATCCATCCCAGGTCATCAGACCTATCTGGAATTAAGCTTCCCAAAGTACATGAACAAGACTGAATATATCTGTTAAATGACTTTTAGGTGGTTTCAGTTTTCCTAGCTGTTTTGAATAGGGAAATAATGGACATTGCCGAGTAAGTATCTGTGGAGTAGTATGTCGTCTTTTGGGCATATGCCAGTGGTCACATGGTAGATTTACTTTTATTTTTTTGAAAATTTCCTTATCAATTTCCAGAATGACTGTATGATTTTGCATTCTCAACAGCAGTAAATGGAGGTTCCTGTTTCTTCACAACCTATACAGCATTTGTTTTCAGTTGTTTCAATGTTTAAGATCATTTGTATAAATTAATGTTCATAAATTTGTGTTCTTTTGTATATGTATACATTTCTACTTTCAATAATCAGAGAATTTGGGGGAATTTCTTGGCTTGAAATCAAGGTGATGATTGTGATTGAATAAACATTAGAATCTAAAACTTTATGAATCATTTTTTGCTCATTTTCCTCATTTTTTTGCTTATTGATCTATATTATAGAACAATACTGTGATGATATGATAGTTTACACATATAAGTAAAACCATAAGCTTTTCGCTTTCCCTATTCAATGTAGAGATGTCTAGATGTATATACTTACTTTTAGAATAGCTTATGGTTGTTACGACTTTTATTTCCTCGTTCTAAAAGTGTACTAAAGATGGAGGAGAGCAGAGGCAGTGCTAGGTGCAGTAAGGTAAAATCTAGTGGAAGCCCAAGGTAATTCCATTTGATCATCACCCTGGTCAATCAGCAACATCCCAACACTGTAGTGTATTCTCCCTTCTTTCTAAAGGGAAAATGAAAAGGCTCATAGTGTCCATCATCCTGTGATCAGACATATCAAATCACATGCCATTGAAACAGCACTATCTTGTCTCAAGGCCATTTGCATATCATTAAAATGCAGCAATATAATTCTTTTGAACTCAATGAAACCAAGGCCAAAAATCACTTACATTTCAATATATCTTTTTTTAATTTGAGCAATTATTTTATTTTGAAGACATTAATTATTATTATTATTTTTAAAACTTTTACAATTTTTTGTTATTAATTTTTATTAGTTCAAATTAGGAACAAGCTTACTTCACATGTCAATCCCTTCGACCTCTCCCTCCCCTTGCCCCAACTCTCTCCGTAACCCCCATCTGCCCCCCACCCCATCCACTCTCCACTCCCCAGACAGGGTAGGGCCCTCGACCAGGGGCTCCCCAAAGTCCACCACATCATTCTGGGCCAGGTCTAGGCCTTCCCCCATGTGTCCAGAACAAGAGTGCATCCCTTCACGTGTGATGGGCTCTCAAAGTCCCTTCTTACACCAGGAAAAAAATACTAATCCACTACTAGGGGCCCCATAGAGTGAGGTGGCCTCCTCATTGATATCCATGTTCAGGGGTCTGAATCAGTCCTGTACTGGCATCCCAAACAGCAGTCTGGGGTCCATGTGTTCCCCCTTGTTCAGGCTAGCTGTTTCTGTGGGTTTCACCAGCCTGGTACCAACCCCTTTGATCTTCATTCCTCCCTCTCTGCAACTAGGTTCCAGAGTTCAGTTCAGTGTATTCAATATATTCACACTTGACTAACATTCAACTAGGGTTGCAGAATAAGATTCCTATTATTTGCAATAATATGGATGAACATGGGAGATAATGTATTATAAGAAATCATCAGATGCATCAATAAAAATTCCACATTATCTCATTTCTACATGAATGTAAAAATCTTATCTCACAGAAGCAGAGAGTGGAATACCTATGAGAAGCTAGGGAAGAAAGGCTACTGGGAAAAGGCACATGTTGAAGAAATGGTACAAATATTCAGTGGGAGAGTTAGCTGTGATGGTATGATTCATACAAAGTGACTAAAATAAAAAAGGATGTATGGTATATTCCAAATGTGCACAAATAATAGTTTTTAAATGTTTTTGCCATGTACACTCAAAATGTGAATGTCCCCTGACAATCTGGTGAGTTTGTCTAATTTAAGTCTATATTAGAAAATTTGGTGTTTTGGTGCCTAACTTCTTGAGTTCTTTGTTTATTTTGGAGATCAGCCCTCTGTCTAATGTGGGGTGGATGAAGAGCTTTTCCCATTTTGTCTTATTGACTGTGTCCTTTGCCTTACAGAAGCTTCTGTTTCAGGAGGTCCCATTCGTTAATTGTCAATCTCAGTGTCTGTGCTACTGATTCTGTGTTCAGGAAGCAGTGTCTTGCACCAGTTTGTTCAAGGGTACCTCCCACTTTATCTTCTAAAAGGTTCAATGTGGCTGGATTAATGTTGAAATTTTTGATGCATTTGGACTTAAGTTTTGTGCATGGTGATAGATATGGATCTATCTGCAATCTTCTACATGTTCAAATTCAGTCATGCCAGCACCATGTTGTTGAAGATGCTTCCTTTTTTTCCATTGTATAGTTTTAGCTTCTTTGTAAAAAAAATCAGGTTTTGTAAGTTTGTGTGTTAATATCAGGGTTTTCAATTCGATTCCTTGTTAAACCAGTCTGTTTTTGTGCCAATACCAAGCTGTTTTCATTACTATAGCTCTACAGTACAGCTTGAAGTTCGGGATGGTGATGCCTCTGGAAGTTCCTTTATTACAGGGTTGTTTTGGCTTTCCTGCTTCTTTTATTTTTCGATATAAAGTTGAGACTTGTCCTTTTAAGGTCTGTGAAGAATTGTACCAGAAGTTTGAAAGGAATTGCACTGAATCTGTAGATTACTTTTGGTAAGATTGCCATTTTTACTCGGTTGATTCTACCTATCCAAGAGAATGAGAGATCTTTCCATTTTCTGGCATCTTCTTTAATTTCTTTCTTTAATGACTCAAAGGTCTTGTCATACAGGTCTTTCACCTGTTTGGTTAGAGTTACCCTAAGATGTTTTATGTTGTTTGTGGCTATTGTAAAGGGGGATGATTCTTTGATTTCTTTCTCAGCCGATTTATATGTCAAAGCATCACAGTAAGTTCCAAGAACATTTACAAGCATCCTGTTAATTAAAAAATAACATTAAAGATACTAACATAGAAGGGGAGTATACTACAAGTACATATTTTTCTAACCATACTGAGGATTTCATCTCCTACATTCACAGAACATTTTAGTGGGTGATACATGGGATGTGGTAGAGCACCACATGTATGTGTTAGCATGTATAAGCATGAATGTGCCTTGAACTCATGGATTGCCCTTTCCAGTAGAAATGCCTAACTATAAGCAATCTCTTCTGGTCTACCAGAAGCCTTGGGAAAGAGTTAGACATGTCACAATGTTATGGAAAGGGTACCTACTGAGTGTTGAGTAAACTATCTTTTGCCAATGTTTGCAAAACTATGAAGATACAGATTAGTATTTTGATTTATCTGTTCATGTTTGATTATTCATTATTACTATTGCAACTCCAAAAGCAAATATTCAGCACAACTTGGAAATAAGAGTAGAATTCAATGAATTGGTCACAGGCCTGGAAAACTCAATTGTCTACATTATTCTTCAGTAAAGAAATCATATACAGGACAAAATTATTTTAGCAGAGGAAGTAACACTAAAATCTTTATGCATTATACAGAACTTTAGTACTTAAAATTTTGGCTTGTTAGCTGTACTTAATAGATTAAGAAACTTTTCTTAAAAAGATACTAAACTGGGGTAATTTTTCTCTGTAAGTGCTGAAGCTATGGCCTGAAAATGAAGATTTCAAATCAGCATTTGCTTTTCTGCCCACTGCAGTGCACCACACTTGCCAACTACTGAGTTCTGCTATTCTGTTTTCTCAGAAGCTTTGGGCCTGCTCATACTCCATCATCCCCCCAACATAAATCACATCTCCATTTTTTAATAATTCAAAAAATGATAAATATTCTTTTAAATGGAAATTAAAATGCTATCTTGTGTCTATTATAGTACACACTTAAAAGTAGTGACAACATGCCACCTCAAACTATGTCACATTATAGTGAAGATTCTTTTAAGCTGAAAGCAATTGAGATTCAACAGGCATAGGAAGTATTTCCTGTTCTTCTCTCAGTAAGCTAAAAGGAGGTCATGAACTACTTACCTGTGCAAAGGTATCTGTCTCCTGCCCTCTCTGACAAAATATCCATCACTGAACAGGGTTGACTTTAATATGAGTTTATGTAAAAAATTCTGAAATAAACAAAATCTTCCTTAATATATTCCTACTTGGTTCCCCATGGATTTCTCCCCAATATATGTGTTCAGATCTGACCATTTGGCAAAGAATGTGAAATTCTGAATCTCCAGACAGAAGAAACAGCTCAAATATCATGGTCAAGGTCAAGGTCAAGATGTCATGGGTGCATTGGACTCAATTCTATTTCAGTATCAGAAAAATTAAAGAAGGAGAAAAGAAGCAAAGCTTAAAAGATCTTATTTCACCACTAGTTTGATTATTCTCTTCTGTCAATTCCTGTATTTATAAAATATTAACTAAATTGGATGTTTCTTCTATTTGTTATGCTATCCGTTGGCAGGTTCATTGACAAGCTCTTAGTTGCTGAATATAGAGATTAGAAGAGCCATTTTTATCTCAATACAGTGGTATGAATCTGGAGGCTAAGGCAGATGGATGGAAAGCTCAAGGACAGCATAGACCACAGAATGGGAACTCTGAGACCTCTCTCTCGCACTCTCTCTTGTTCTCTCTCTCAAAAGTCTCTGTATGTTTGTGTGTATGTGTGAATTTAAAATTTGAAAAATTTGAGAGCTCTCAATATATTTCCAGTGATCTGACCCCAGAGGATTCACTCTACCACTTTTAATATGTTAAACATCATCAGACATCTCTGGCATATATTTCAAAATGTAAAGATGTATGGAACAAGTAAATATCTGAAATTAGCATTACCTCTTCCATATCCTTAAATAGCTAGAAAAAAAAGCTGTAAGTAATCACTGATACACAGAAGGAGAAGCTGAATACAATGAACAAGAATAGTATCAGACTCCTTTTTTATGTTATTCATTATATTTGACCTTAATCACAAACCATTAGAAACATAAATAGTATCAGAAATATCACATATTAGTGTTTGATGATAATTTCAGAGAGGTTTTCAAGAACACAGCAGCATTTTACAATTCCTTGTAAAGTGAACCACTGAGGTCACTACGCAGTATGGTGATTTCTCCCAATGCCAATCCTTTGGTTCCCTATTAGTGACAGGGGCAGTGCCCAGTCAACCTATCTACATGGTTTCTGCTTTTATGATTCCATCTGTAGGACTGTAGATAAATCATCATAAACTTGATTAAGTGTGTATTGTGTGCATCTGCTTGACTGTGCTGGAGATGATGAACATAACAGATGGAGATAACAATAAAAGGCTATTAGAAGAAGTCTCAGTATTAACAAGTGTCATCTGAACAGTGACTTCTGAGGATCGGTCAGGATACAGATGGGTAGGGAGAAAAAAAAAACACATCCAAGGAAAACAGGGACAGAAAAAGCAGAATGAGCATGATAGTGTAGCATCTGTCTGTGTGTGTGTGTGTGTGTGTGTGTGTGTGGATTGTAGACACACACACATCATACAAGGGAAATGAGAAAAGAATATATCACTATTGCAGTGTTACTCGTTGTAACCAGTACATTTATATTAATTAATAGGAGATGATTGTATAACTATTTGTTTCACTGTAATTGCTGAATCCCAAAACCTGTCTCTACACCAGTGTCACATTGACAGGTCTACATAGTAACACTGACATCACATCAAGGAGGAACTCATTACCTTGTGGTTTCCTACCTTTCTCTTTCCATGCTTCTTCACACCAAGTTATGAAACACTGAAAAGACAGTATCTAATAAGAACAAGCTTTGTATAGAACAAAATCTTGGAAACATTTTTCAGTTACTCTATAAAATCAAGAAAATATAGAAACTAGTTGAACCAATTATTTAAAACAAGGTCCAATTAACAGGTTTCTGTGACTTGTGATGCACAATGACCTTTAACATCTCCACAATGCTTTTTGTTATATATTCAATTCTTTCCATTACTATTTCCTATGACAACTGGCCAGAGTTCATCCAGTATCTGATAGGATTCCCCCCAAGCCCTTGCTTTGTGGGTCTTTAAATCAACAGATATGCCTTAATAGTTCCACAGTTTCCTTTAATCAGTTTGAACTTTCAGTTCTGCTGTATAGAAATGTCTGTTCTGTATGCAATCAGATCTTATAACCTGTAGTTCCTGATATTATAGATTTTTAATTTCTTTTATCAATAATTTACAAATAGTCAATTATTTTGTTTTTTTGTTTTTTCTTTAATTACTACTCATATTTACATATCCATCCCCCCATTCCCCCTCCCTTTAATCCTCCAGTGTTCCCCACCAAACCCTCCAACCTATCCCCCAACTCCTCCCCAGGGATAGTGAGGCTCTCCACAGGGGACCTTCAAAGTCTGTCATATCATTTAGGGGAGAGCCTCATCCATCCTTGCTGTATCTACGCTGCAATAGTATCCCTCCATAGGGAATGGGCTCTCAAAGTCCATTTGTGCTCTAGGGTTAAAGACTGGCTCCACTGTTAGAGATCCCATAGACTGGCTTGGCCTCCTAGCTGACCCACATTCAGAGTACTTGATTCTGTCCAATGCTGTTTCCCCAGCTTTAGGACAAGGGTCTCCATGCTCTCACTAGTTCAGGTCAACTGTTTCTGTGGGTTCCTGCAACACCATCTGGGCTCTTTTGCTCATCACTCCTCCCTCTCCACAATTGGACTCCTGGAGGATGGTTCAGTACTTAGCTGTGGGTGCCTGTTTCTACTTCAAACAGCTACTGGATGAAGGCTCTAGGAATGGTAACCAAGGTAGTCATCAATCTCATTATAGGGGAAGGGCATCAATGTCATCTCCACCACTGCCTGGATTCTGAGTTGGGGTCATCTCTGTGGATCACCTAATATTTTCCCTGTGCCAGACCTCTATCCAAACCTGTACTGTCTCCTTCTATCAAGACATCTCCTATCTTTCCCTCCTCTATTCCTCCCCTTGTTCTCCTCCCACTTCTCCTTCTTCCCTTCCCACCTCCTTCCCCCCCATGCTCCCACTGTGCTCAGGAGTTTTGTTCCCTTGTCCTTCTTTGAGGGACTATGCAATCTTTTCCTGGGGCCCTGCTTGTTTACTAGCTCCTCTGGCAGTGTGGATTGTAGACTGGTAATCCTTTGCTCCATGTCTAAAAATCATATATGAGTAAGTACAAACCATGTTTGTCATTTTGTGACTGAGTTATCTCACTCAGGATGGTTTCCTCTAGTTCCATCCATTTGCCTGTGAATTTCCAGATTCCATTGTTTTTTCAGCTGAGTTGTACTCTATTTTGTAAAGGTTCCACATTTTCTCTATCCTTTCTGCAGTTGAGAAGCATCTAGGTTGCTTCCAGGTTCTGGCTATTACAAATAATGCTGCTATTAACATAGTTGAAAATATGTCCTTCTGGTATGACTGTGCATTCTTTGGGTATATGCCCAAGAGAGGAATTGCTGGATCTTGAGGTAGACTGATTCCCATTTTCCTGAGAAATCACCATATTGTACAAGTTTAAACTCCTACCAGCAATGGAGAAGTGTTCCTCTTTCTCCACATCCTCTCAAGCATAGACTGCCATTGGTGTTACTGATTTTAGCCATTCTGACAAGAGTAAGATGGTATCTCAGAGAGGTTTTGAGCTGCATTTCCCTGATGGCTAAGTATGTTGAACACTTTCTCAAGTGTCTTTCAGCCATTTTAGATTCCTCTGTTGAGAATTCTCTATTTAGTTCTGCACTCCACTTTTTAATTGCACTGTTTGATGTTTTGGTTGCTAGCTCCTTGAGTTCATTGTATATTTCGGTGATCAGCCCTCTATCAGATGTAGGGTTGGTGACAATATTTTCCCATTCTGTGGGATGGTGTTTTGTCTTGCTGACTGTGTCTTTTGCCTTACAGAAGGTTCTCAGTTTCAGGAGGTTCCATTTATTAACTGTTAATATCAATGTTTGTGTTATTGGTATTATGTTCAGAAAGTGGTCTCCTGTACCAATTTGTACAAGAGTACTAACTACCTTCTCTTCTAGGAGGTTCAGTGTGGCTGAATTTATGTTGAGGACTCTAATCCATTTTCACTTAAGTTTTGTATATGGCTATAGATATGGATATACCTGCAATCTTCTACATGTTTGAATCCAGTTATGCCAACACCATTTGTTGAAGATGCTTTCCTGTTCCACTTATAACTTTAGCTTCTTTGTCAACAATCAGGTGTTCATAGGTGTGTGGGAATTTACAAATAGTCAATTTTTAAAAAGGTATAACAGAAATGAAAAATATAAAAAACCCTATTTTAATTATCTTGACCTTAGGGACTTGAGTAACATTCCCTTGGAAGTATATGAAACTGCTTAAGCCCTTAATTTCTGAGTTCTGTGGATCTCTTTACAACTTGTTTGTGCCTAAAGAATTTCATACAAGACTAGGTACAGTCAAGTCTCCATGTGGAGAACTATAAAGATGAAGAGATAGATACAACAAACATAGGGACCTCAATACTGAGAGTATCAAAATGAGGATGATGACCAGTATGACAGAATGGAGTAACAGTGAAGTCATCACTCAGTAGTGACGCATGGCTTTCACTGGGTTTCATCCAGTGGAGGGGCTGAGAAGACATTGTATGAGGTCTGGTATTATATGTGTCCCAACAGTAACAACAATTTCAAATAGTTATTCCAATAGCCTAATTTCTGATTTTTACTAAATAATTAAAGTTAAAAAAATACTGGCAATAGAAAGAGTAAATATAAATATTATATGCAATATTTTGAACTTAAAGTCTAGGGAAGGATCTCTTATAGGACTTACGAGTATGATTTAAAATGAAGCAGTTCAAATAAGATATGAAAGGTATTATAAAAGGTAGGAGAAAGTCTATCAAAACAAAGAAAAGGTAGATGTGGTGCAGGGGTACTTCACTTAAAAGAAGCTTCCATCCAGACAGCCTGACATAGGAAACAATATGTCCTACAGTGAGATTCACAAAGATTCCTGTGGTGTACAAAAGGGGGTGAGTTCAGGAGGCAAAGAGTGAGAGATGCTTAAATTTGCATTTCTTTAAAATCCTGTTTCTTGATCTTAGTCTGCTGGCATGTGCATGATGTAGGTGTCACAATGCTACAGCATTGCCAGTTGCCATCTGAGGAAATAAACCACACTTTAAAACTAAAATTAAGACTTCTCCCCATCTCCTGAATGTGCTTTTGGTCTGGGATTTAAAATTATAAACTTCTTTCAGAGATAGACAGTCATACTTGAGATACTGAGTTTGAGATCCAGCATGTGCTTTGGCTAGCTGTATTATAATCATTTAATTTTTAAAATGACATTGCTAAAATAGCTTTCATGCAAGCATAGGATAATAGATAGCAATATAGATTAGAAAAAACTGTGATGCCTCTGTGATGCCGCTCTTCAGGGTGTAAAGCAGGTGCCACTACATCTCTGCATGTGTAGCCAATGCTTATACGTTTTTAAATGCAAATTGTTTTCTTTTAAGAAAGAACATTATATTGAATATGGATGCAAAGGGGTTATACATTTGTGTTTCATTTCCTTGTGCTGTAAAACTCATTTTCTACGAGTAATGAGAGTTTTATAAAATATTACAGTGTTTGTAACAAATCTGGCTTTTAAAGAAGCAGATTTACATAAACTAAAGCAGGGATTTCTCTCTATCTCTATGCAGTTTTGTTCTTTGTGGCATTTTGTGCAGGCTTATTATGATTTTATCTGTAGATGCATTTAAATGTGCTTTGAATACAGGGGAAAATAGAAATTTGAAAGTGAACAAGGTGAGTTACTAAGACAATCACATCTTAAATAATATTTTTCAAATGTTAGATAAAGTTACTTGGTAAGTCTTCAGGATATAAAACAAATGCATGAATCATTTTATGTTGTGACCTGGTGATGAGTTTTCTATAGCTTTCTCTATATAATCATCACAGTCCTTGAGGTGTGGATATCATGCTTATAGGATGTTCCAGAGACTGCTCTTGAAATAGACAACATGACCATAGCTTAGATGTCTGTACAACAGCATTTATATTAGCAATTTTTCAACCAAAGAAATCCAAGCCTGGCATGTTGTATTATATTTTCAACAATCTGTTGTACTTAACATAGAATTATGACTTATGTAAGGTATATTATGCACACATAACTTCAGATATATGTATATATAATGTTATACACATATGTTATACACACATATATGTTATACGCAAGCATATATATATATATATAATGTTATACACATATATTGTTATACAACATGTATGAGAGAGGGATGGAGGAAGGGGAAGTAGGGGATGAGGGAGGGAAGAGAAAAGAGAGAAAGAGAGAGGGTTTGGATTTTCTGATTGCTTGTGTGTGTGTGTGTGTGTGTGTGTGTGTGTGTGTGTGTGTG